GGGCAATTGGGGGGGAATCATGAATTCATTATTGCACATCTTTTAAACATCCTCAACTCTACTTTCTTCCTATTTACTAAATTTAATTCAAAAAAAAAAAAAAATCAAGTATGAACTCTCTCTATGTGTAATATATTGACATGACATATATTATGCATCTAATTTTTTTTTTGGTCTTTTTGTCTTTTATAAAGAAAAATCTTGTACTTTTTTTGTTCTTTAATGGTTCCATCAAAGATGGAAAAAAAGGTAAGTGTGAAAGTGGGATTGAGTGTTGAGTGTTGTTGTGTGTGGGTGTTTGATAATGACAATGATCTGAGTTTTTTTTTGTTTGTTTATTTTTGATGATTTTTTTTTTGGGCCTTAATAAAAAAACGCGGTTTTTCCGCGTTTTGACGCGGTTTTGATGCGCCGCAGCACACGCGGTTTCCGCTTTTAGACGCGGTTTTTTAATTAATTTTTTACGGCTTATTTTTCGAGTTTTTTCAAAATTTTAAAATTTATTCCTACACTATGAAAGGTGTAGAATTTAATGGTAAAGTCCATTTTCCACAAAAATGAATTTTGATTATTAATTTCTTTTTTCCACTTATTTTTCAATTAATTGTTTGCATGCATGTATGTACCTTATTTTTTATGCTTTTGTGAAATTTTAAAATTATTTCCTAGGTTTCGATGTGTGTAGAATTTAATGGTGCAATCAAATTTTTTTCAAACTCAACGGTTCATTTTTAATACTAAAATTAGACCCATTTTTTCACTTAATTTTTTACAGCTTAATTCTCATCATTTTTTGACATTTTAAATTTATTTCCCACACTTTAAGACATGTAGAAAATGATGGTAACAACCATTTTTCCCCAAAATGAAAACTATACCTTGAATGCCGCATTTGACACGTTTTTTTAATTAATTCATCACTTTTTCACTTAATTGTTTGCATACATGTGTGTACCTTATTTTCTATGCTTTTCTGAAATTTTGAAGTTGTTTCCTACATTTAAAAGTGTGTAAAATTTAATGGTAACATTCAATTCCCATAAAACTCCACCGATCCATTCTGGATACTGTATTAGCCATATTTGTCAGTGGTTGTAGGAGCCAGGTTTCATTACTGTTGGGATTTCAACGTTGGTTCCCCCCCTTTAGGAGGTTGAAAAAAAAGAGGTG